CCCAACCATCCACACTTAGGACAATCTTCACTCCATTTTGCTCAATCACAGGACACTGTGATTTACTTGATTATGATTTATTTTTCTTACAGCAATTATTACAATCATAAACTCTGTTTTTTGTGTTTGTGCTAAGTCCTCAGTCAACCAGCTCTTCCTGCTACTCAGTCTACATGGAGTACCTGGCTTCTGTTGTTACCTTTTAGGGCTCTAGTCACAGAGTGCAACTGACTTTTCTTGTCTTGATTCCAAACTCTTAGAGGATGATACCGATTGTCCCAGTTTGGTTCAGGTGACCTGCCTGGTACAATCAGCTATCATTAGGGAGATAGGTAGGTCAAATTATATAAGAATCCATGCCAAGAGCCCACATTTTTGGACAGGAACAATTAAAGGGGAATGGGCAAAGGCATGCACTCTAAAAGGTGACTGAACATATCTCCAGATGATTTCCCTTCCTCCCTATGTTTGTGGTTTCCCAGGGTAGGATTCTGATACTCTGCTCCCATTTCTCCTTTCCTCTTTTAATTTCCAACGACATCTAGTTATACAATTCTTTGAATGGGCCAATTTGGAATTGTTTTCTCACTGATTTGTCCAGTTTTACGGAATTGAGTGGTCGTTTTTGGCATCATGTAGATAACAAACTCTGATAGAATCTAATGAATCATGTATTTGATCACAACGTGTGCACCATACCAATATTCTGAACTTAACCCCTGCCATTAGGCCAAGGGGTTTATTCTGACATTAGCTGTTTTTCTTTGGAAATTAAAGGGCTTATCCTTTTCTGGTTGGATGTGTTTATTTCATCTGCATTGGCCAATTAAAATCAGATGCATATTATGATTCTACTGATTTAGTAATTCAATAAAACAGTTTTCTCCCCTTTGGCACAAAAATTTGCTTATAGATGTACCACCTGCTCAGAGATAGGAGGCTCGTGTTCTAGATTGTCATGTCACCACCTGATGGTGTGGTAGTGAGAAAGTCATTTAGCCTGTCACATTGGCCCTCCTTCAGCTTTGAAATGAACGAATTGATTAAGATCTGTCTATATTGCCTTCCAGTCCTAAATTCTGAGATGCCGTGACTGCCTGAGAAGGGATCATATTATCTTTAGACTAACAATTAGTTTTGGAAAAGCCTCTGGATTAAATACTTACTTCCAAGATAATCTCTTTAGGAGAAGTTTGTGGGGGAAAATTTTTTATTCTATTTTGAAGAATTAAACATCATGAGTGGAGTGCCCCAGGTCCTGAAGTCGATGAGTGTTTCAGAGTTCGTTCTCTCTGTAGTAATGAAATTCAGTGCCTTCTCGCTGCATTTTGTCTGGAGGTAAAGACAGAGGCAAAGTGGCCGAAATGGCTGCTGACCTGATTCTTGTCCAGGAAACTCAATTAGTGGACAGGGCTGAGATGTAGGCCGAAGTTAGAGTCATTATTTTTTACATCAGATTAATGAGAGTGAAGTAGAGAAAGCTTTCTGCTCTGTAAATGTGCCTCTTATGGTCATATAACATATGGCTCAACACAGAACAAGGGAAACTAAAGCAATCATTGAATGACAAAGGCCAGAAACTGCCAATGATGTAATCTCAAGCAACATGAGTGACGCCCTGACCCACTTCCTTCCCTGCTTGGCATTTCCTGTAATGAGAATGAGGACACTTAGCCAGTCGCAGAGTGACTCTCTTATGAACCTCTCCAAGAGAGTTCACAGCATGTGCTCACCACACACTAATGGTGTGAGCGATATTGCTCCTGGCATAGTCCCTCCCACGAGGGACGTGACCACACGATTCTTTCTGAAGGACGTTTGACGGCACTTAGCAATTCACAGACTTCTAATAAATATATCTTGGCAAATGATAGTTATTAGGACATCTACTGGCACCTCAGGTCATGTGTTTCTAGGCTTCCAGATCTTCTGGGTGTACTTTAAGTTGTCATTTTGGTTGGCTTCAGTTTTCAATTATGTCTACTAATGCAAGGGAGTGGTTAATTTAAAACGGTAGATTTTTCAAGAATAATCTTGGCGTTGGTGAGAATTTTGATAGAGATTTTAACAAGAGTATGCCTGACATTCTATCTGTTCAGACCAAGACTCACTACACACACAAAAAGAGAAACTGAAAACTAGGATGTTTACTATCTCCCCCGAGAATCTCTGAACTCAGAACTATTTCATCTTTTAAATTCATTGCTGGGAATACAGAGCATCCCATTGTAGAGAGGCAAAGCGTTGGTCTAAAATATGGCTAGCTTATTGCTATCAGAGTCTTTGTACCTTTCTACTCTTATTCAATTCAACACACATTTACTGAGTACTTACTGTGTATAAGGCATGGAATGTGAGGGGACACAATACCTTGCTCTCGAAGAGCTGACAGTCTAGTGGAGGACACGCGTACCTAGATAAATAATTATAATGCACTGTGACAAACGCTACGCGGAACCTCAGAGCAGAGATGAGGGTGCACAGTAGGGGTGACCAGGAAAGTTACAGAGAAGATGCAATAACTGAGCTGGGTTTGAAGGCTCATTAAAAATCTTTCAGGCAGACAAGGGGAGGGGAGGGGACTTTCTAGCAGGAGGGAGCACTGTGGTCATCACCATGGAGGTGTGCAAGTCAGCAACTGGTTAAGGAACAGAGAATAATCAGATACAAATTAAAACAAGTGTAGTGTGGGCAGAATGAATAACATTGAAAATCCCTAAGCAGCTGAGTAAACCACATGCAAGACGTGAAAACCTGTCCTCGACGAACTTACAGATTAGCTAAAAATGCACAACACAGGCATGTAAGAGAGAGCTAGTGACTCAAGGCCACAGATGATAAGACGGTGAGTGCATATGAGACACACAAACATGAAATGCTACAGATATTCCAGGGACCGAGTGGTTCAGGACCCCAGGATCCCTGGAGCGTGTCTCTGGAGGTAAGGGCAGGGATGGCTGGGAGACAAAGCTGACAACTAGGATGTGAAACAGGATTTCAAGGAAGTTTTCATAATATCTCTCCTCCGTTTCACAGGCTTTCAAGCTATGATCATCTTATTCACATGAGACTGTTACTCTCCATACACACGTAAGCCCAATTTGGAAAGTAACGTATATTCATTGCAACAAATAAGGAAATGCAGAAAAACGTAAAGAAAAAAAGTATTCATCTATATCTTCCAGAGAAAACTAGTATTAATATTTTTGTGTCTACATTACAGATTTCTTAAATAAATACGTATATGTTCCTTTTTTTTTTAAACTACAGTAGTGTGAACTACAGCTATCATGTTGTACGTTACACTCCTGGTACTTATTTATCTTATAACTGGAAGTTTGTACATTTTAACCACCTTCCTCCAATTTCCCCTTTATCTTTCCACATATAAAATTTTTAAAATAAAAGTAGACTTTTTTGTAGGTTTAGTTATAACTTTTTTTTGGGGGGGGTGCGGTGAGGAAGATTGGCCCTGAGCCAACATTTGTTGCCAATCTTCCTTTTTTTTTTTTTTTTTTGCTTGGGGAAGAGTGGCCCTGAGCTAACGTCTGTGCCAATCTTCCTCTATTTTGTATGTGGAATGCCACCACAGCATGGCCTGATGAGTGGTGTGTAGGTCTGCACCCAGGATCTGAACCTGTGAACCCCAGGCCGCTGAAGCAGAGTGTGTGAACTTAACCATTACACTGGGCCGACCCCATAAATAAATTTTTACACTCTATTTTCCAGTTAAATTTTATGGATATCTTTCCATGTCAATAAATATCTACATCCGTTTTTGTAGTGGCTGCACTATATTTCCTCTTAAGCATATTTCATGAACTATGGGCTCTTTAGTCTACTCTATATGCTTATCTTATGCAAATGTCACACTGTTTTGAAACCTGTAGCTTTGTAATATGCTTCAAAGTCAGGGACTGTGATACCTCCAGCTTTGTTCTTCCTCAAGATTATTTTGGCTCTTCAGGGCCTTTTGTGGTTTCATAGGAATTTCAGGATCTTTTTTTTCTATTTCTGCAAAATTACCATTGGGATTTTGATAGGGATTATATTGAATCTGTAGATAACTTTGGGTAGTACAGACATTTTAACAATGTTACATCTTTTGATTCATGAATGTGGAATGTCTTTCCATTTATTTGTGTCTCTTTTAATTGTTTTCACCAATGCTTTGTGGTTTTCATTGTACAAGTCTTTCTTTAAGTAAGGTTTTTACTATTTTTGATGCTCTCGTAAATGGGACTGTTTTCTTAATTTCCTATCTGGATTTTTTGCAGTCATTAGTGTGTAGAAACACAACTGAGTTTTGTATGTTCCTTTGTATCCTGTAAAGTTGCTAAATTTCTTTATTAGTTCTAACAGTTTTGTGTAGAATTTTTAGGACTTTCTTCATATAGCATCACGTCATCTGTGAACAGAGAGAATTTTACTTCTTCCTTTCCAGTTTGGATGTCTTTTTTCCCCTGCCTAATTGATCTAGCTAGGACTTCCAGTACCATGTTGAATGGAAGTCATGGGAGTGGGCATTCTTGACTTGTTCTCAACCTTTGAGGAAAAGCTTCCAATTTTTCACTGTTGAGGGTGATGTTAGCTAATGGGCATATTGTATATAGCCTTTATTATGTTGAGGTATATTCCTTCTATATCTAGTTTGTTGAGCATTTTTATCGTGAAAGGATTTTAAATTTTGTTCAAGACTGTCTGCATTTGTTGATATGATCATGTGATTCTGTCCTTTGTTCTGTTAATATGGTATATCTCATTTATTGATTGCATATGTTGAACCATACTTGCATCCCAGGGATAAATTCCACTTGATCACGGTGTGTTATTCTTTGAATGTATTGTTAAGTTCAATTTACTAGTATTTTGTTGAGGATTTTTACGTCTGTGTTCATCAGGGATATTAACCTGTAATTTTCTATTTTTGTAGTGTCTTTGGCTTTGAGATCAGGGTAATGGTAGCTTCACACAATGAGTTTAGAAGTGTTCCCTTCTCCTCAATTTTATGGAAGAGTTTGACAGGATTGGTATTAATTCTTTAAGTGTTTGGTAGAATTCACTAGTGAAGCCATCTTGTCCTCAGCTTTGGTTTGTTTGGAGGTTTTTGATTACTGATTCAGTCTCCGTATTTGATATTGGTTTGCTCATATTTTCTATTTCTTCGTGATTCAGACTTGATAGGTTGTATGTTTCTAGAAGTTTATCCATTTCTTCTAGGTTACCCAATTTTGAGCAATTGTTCATGGTGGCTTCTTATGATCGCTTTTATTTCTGTGGCATCAGTTGTAATATCTCTTCCTTCATTTCTGATTTTGAATCTTCACTCTTTTTTTCTTAGTCTGGCTAAATGTTTGTCAATTTTGTTTATGTTTTCAAAAAATTAGCTCAGTTTTGTTGGCCTTTTTCTTGTTTTTCTACTCTCTATTACATTTATTTCTGTCCTAATCTTTATTTCCTTCCTTCTGCTAACTTTGGACTTGCTGTTTTCTTATTTTTCTAATTCCTTGAGGTATAAAGTTAGGTTGTTTCTGATATTTTTCTTCCTTTTTAATGTAGAAGTTAACACTGTAAACTTCCCTTTGTACTTCTTTTGCTGCATCCCTTGAATTTTGGTCTGTTGTGTTTCCATTCTCATTTGTCTCAAGATATTTTCTAATTTCCCTTTTGATATCTTCTGTAACCTATTGGTTGTTCAACAGTGTTTACTTTCCACATACTTGTGAATTTTCCAGTTTCCTTCTGGTATTGATTTCTAGTTTCATTCCAGTGTGGTCAAAAAAAGATCCTTAGTATGATCTCAATCTTCTTAAATTTATTAAGACTTATTTTGTGATCTGACATGTGATTTATTCTGTAGAATGTTCCATGTACACTTGAGAAGAATGTGTATTCTCCTACTGTTGACTGGAATGTTCTGTGTGTGTCTGTTAGGTCCATTTAGTCTATAGTGTTGTTCAAGTCCTCTGTTTCCTTATTGATTTTCTGTCTGGATGATCTGTCCATATTGTAAGTGGGATATTGACGTCTACTATTACTATATTGCTGTCTATTTCTCCCTTCAGTTCTACGTTTACCTCATATATTTGTGTGTTCTGATTATCGGTGCACATATATAATTATTATATCTTCTCCATAATTGACACTTTTATCATAATATAGTGCCCTTCTTCATCTTTTTTGACAGTTTTTGACTTAAAGTTTATTTTGTCTGGTATAAGTGTGGACACTCCTGCTCTCTTTTGGTTACCATTTGCATGGAACATGTTTTTTCATCCTTTCATGTTCAGCTTATATGTGTTCTTACATCTAAAGTGAGGTTCTTATAAACAGCATATAGTTAGATCTTGGTTTGTGTGTGTGTGTGTGTGTGTGTGTATGTCTATGTCTATTCAGCCACTCTATGTCTTCTGATTGAGGAGTTTAGACCATTTACCTGTAAAATAATTACTGACAGGTAAGGACTTACTATTGCTATTTTGTTAATTGCTTTCTGTCTTATAGCTTTTTTGTTCCTCTTTTTCTCTCTTGCTATCTTCCTTTGTGTTTAATTGATTTATATTTAGTGGTATGCTTTCTCACATTCCTTTCTCACGTTCTTTTATGTATCTTCTATAGGTATTTTCTTTGTGGTTACCTTGGGGCTCACCTAAAATATCTTGTAACAATCTATTTTAAGCTAATAACTTCAATAGCATTCAAAAACTTTACTCTTGTCCTCCTTCTCAATTTATGTTATCGATGTCACAAATTGCATCCTTTTTTATTGTGTATCCATTAACATATTTTTATAATTATAGTTATTTTGTGTATTTTTATCTTTTAATTTCTATGCTATAATTAGAAGTGATTTTCTTACCATCATTACCATAGCACAGTCTTTCGTATTTGTCTATATATTTATCTTTACCTGTAAGCTTAATACTTTCCTAACTTTTATGTTGCTCTCTAGCATCCTTTCATTTCAACTTAAGAACCACCTTTAGCATTCCTTATAAGGCAGATCTGGTGGTGATGAACTCCTTCAGTTTTTATTTATCTGGGAAAGTCTTAATTCTTCTTCATGTTTGAAAGACAGTTATGCCAGATATAGTATTCTTGTTTGGCAGTTCTTTTCTTTCAGCAATTTTAATATATCATCCCACTCCCTTCTGGCCTGCAAGTTTCTGCTGAGAAATCTGTTGATAGTCTTATGAGGGCTCCTTCGTGGTGAGTCAGTTTCTCTTGCTGCTTTCAAAGTTCTCTCTTTGTCTTTGACTTTTGACAATTTGTTTATAATGCGTTATTGAGTGGACTTCTTTGGGTACATTCTAGTTAGAGTTTTTTGGGTTACTTGAATCTGAATGTCCATTTCTTTCCCCAGATTTGGGAATTTTTCAGTCATTATTTCTTCAAATAAGTTTCCTTGCCTATCTCTCTCTTTTCCTCCTGTTATTCTCATAATGTGTTTGTTGGGCCTTTTGATGGTGCCCCATAAGTCCTGTGGGCTGACCCTTTTTTTCCATTCTTTTCCTTTTGCTCCTCTGATGAATAATATAAATAATCTGTCTTTGAGTTTGTTGATTCTTCCTTCTGATTTATCAAGTCTGTTCTTGAACCCCTCTAGTGAGTTTTTTTCCCCGAAAGATTGGCACCTGAGCTAGCAACTGTTGCCAGTCTTCTTTTTTTTCCTGCTTTATCTCCCCAACCCCCCCTGTACATAGTTGTATATTTTAGCTGAAGTTCCTTCTAGTTGTGGCATGTGGGACGCCACCTCAGCGTGGCCTGATGAGCATTGCCATGTCCTCGTCCAGGATCTGAACGGGCAAAGCCCTGGGTGGCCGCAGCAGAGTGGGCAAACTTAACCTCTCGGCCATGGGGCTGGCCCCTCTAGTGAGTTTTTAAACTCACTTATTATATTCTTCAGCTCCAATATTTCTGGTTTTTTTATTTTTAATATTTTCTTGTTGATATTCTTATTTTGTTCAAGTATCAGTTTTCTGAGCTCATTGAGCATTTTTATGGTGGTTGTTTCTTTAGGGTTGGTTTCTGGAGATTTATTTTATTCCTTTGACTGAGTCATGCTTCCTTATTTCATCATGTGCTTTGTAACATTTTGTTGGGATCCACACTCTAGAAAAAACAGCCACCTCTCCAAGTCTTTACAAAGTGGCTTTCTATGGGAAAGAACTTCACCATTCAGCCTGGCTAGAGATGCTGGGGGTCTCTCAACCCTTTTCTGTGGTGCTGTCTTCTTTGGACTTCTGCATGTAAATTCCCAATTAGAGATATTTACATTTCTTTGTCCAGAGCTCATAACCTGTTGTTCTCTCTGGTGTCTGTCTGCAGTACTGCAGCTTTTCTGCAGTTGCCACCCAGCTCTCTTTTGTTCTCAGTGGCCATCGTGATTCTTGATTATTCCAGGCCCCATTGGTTCTCCAACAGGTGAGACAAAAACAAGTTTGTCAAGCAATCTGCTGAAAATCCAGAACACTGGATGCATGCTCCCCTTTCTTCTTTCCCCTCGGAGAGACACTGTTGAACTGTATCATCCTCTGTCTGCTGTACCACAGGTCTTTTGGAGTAGCAGCAAGCTACCCTACTCTCTTTTATTCTCAGAAGCCTCCAGGCAGCTAGAGTATTCCTGGTCCAGTCAGCACATCAAAACAGGTGTGACACAAACCAGTCCCTTTGGCACTCCTCTGAAAAGCTGGAATGTTGGATGTCTGCTCCAGTTCTTTCCCTTCCCAGGGAAAAGCTGAGAATTGGAGGTTTTCTCTAACTCATTCCATTGGGCCACGCGTAGGGACTATGGTGAGTGAGGGCCTCCTAGTCCAAACCTTCAACTTTGTTCTCTGTAGACCCCAATCTGGTGTCCTTTCCTGCCAGCACTTAGATTCAGGCAAGACACAAGCTAGTCCTTCAGGAAGCTTCTCAAAAAGCCAAAACATTGCATATATGTTTCAGTCTTTTCATTCTCCCCCTAGGGGGAACCCAGGACCTGGGAGTTTTCTACCAATTATGCTGTGTTGTGCTGGGGGAGGGTCTATGGTGAGTGGATAACATGAATTTTCCTACTGGCTTTAATGTGGCTGGTTTCACACTCACTTGGAATAGAAGGGCCTCTTAACTGTTTGTGGATTTCTCACAAAGGGATTTGGTCCCTGTATTGTTGATATCTCTTTAGGGGGAAGAAGGGTCTGGGGCTTCCTATTCCACCATCTTGCTGTTGTCAACCTCAGAGTCTTATTTTAAATCCCTGGTGTTGTGGGTTCTTAAGGGCTAGGATTCTGTGAGACTTATTTCTATGTCCTATGGCTGCTACACAGTGAGTGCCGATCAAATGTTTGTTGGAGCGATGTAAATGTGAATCAAGCAGCCATAAAATGGTTGGGTAGGTACTCTTGGCATCTTTTTCTTATTAGATAACGTGAGGCTTGGTTTGAATAGGTACTTAAGAGTGACATTTGCCACTGTTATGCTATTTCTTGCAAGTCCATCCATGCATTAAAAAAACATACGTGTTGAATTTTCCAGGCTGATTTAGCAGGAAACTCAGTGGGACTTATTGTTTAAAATACTCGTGTCATTAAATTCCTTTACAGAGTTAGGATCACAGGATTATTTGGCCAGCAACATAGAGAGCATCTAGCCAACTCCTCCCAACCTTAATTTTACAACTGAGGAGACCAAGGCCTGGGGGGTTTAAAGGTTGTTAAGAAATCTCACTGCTAATTGGAAGGGGAGCAGTGACTAGAACTGAGGCCACCTTGAGTCTGGCTTTTTCTAATGTACCAAAACCGTGTCTCAAGTCTGGAATAATTAAGACATGTGAGAAATACCTCAAATGGGTTGAGTACAAAATGCACTTCAAAGGTAAATTTGGTATTCAGAGATCATTATTTCAGATCTCCAGCTGTTATAGAACAAGGCTGCCTAAAACTCTAGCATTAACAGATGTCTGCTAAACACTTCATACTAATAATTGAAATAGTAACAACAATGCTGCAATTAGTCTACAAGAACAAAAAAGCCCACACAGACACACTGTTTTTATCTTCACTTTCTTTCATAGGCATTCATGCATCTG